TCCTGCTGGGGCTGCCAAGGGACTGCGAGAGGCTTTGGGGGTCCTGGGGCGCTGGGGGCAACTGGGAGGAGGCTGTGGGATGCTGAGAGGGACGGGAGGGGCTTTGGTGGCTCCTGGCCAGGACAAAAAGGGATCGGGGGGAGGTTTCAGTGGTTCCTGGCTGGGCCGGGGGCCACAGGGAGGGCGCTGGGAGGGGCTCGGGGTGTCGGTGAGAGGTTTTGGGGGTGCTGAGCCCTGCGGACCCCCCAGAGATGCCGCCGGACGCCGCCCGCAGCAAGATGCTGACGGGCATCGGGGGCTTCGTCTTGGGCTTGGTCTTCCTGGCGCTGGGGCTCGGCTTCTCCCTGCTCAAGAAGGTCAGGGCGGGTGCCGGGGGTGGCGTCCCCCCCGTGGCGGAGCGTGTGCGCTCCCGCTGGGGCCCCCAGCCCGGTGTCACCCCCTTTTCTGTGCCCACAGAGCTCCTGAGCCGGCTGCGGCCGCAGCCCCTCCCCGTGGGCTCGGGCCCGGCCGGGATCCCCCGCTCCGTCCCCGCTCCGCTGATTTTGGGGGGGTCCCGTGTCCCCCCCAGCCCCGCTGGCGCTCTGCCCCCGTCCAGTGCCTGCTCCCAGTAAAGCTTCCCAGTTGGGCCCGGGGCCGTTTATTGGGGGGCGGTGGGGAGGGGTGTGGAAAGAGGGAGGGGGACAAAGGGTGGGGGCTGGGCCCGGGGGGAGCGGGAAGAGGATGTGGAGGAGGAGGAGGAGGAAGAGGAAGAGGAAGAGGAAGGATCAGGAGAAAGGCCGGAGAGAGGAGGAGAAGGAGGCAGGATAAGAAATGAGGAGGAGGTGAGGGAAGGAGAAACTGGAAAGAAGAAGAAGAGGAGGAAGAAGAGCAGCAGCACCAGAACCTCGCCGTTTTTCCACGCCCCCAGAGCTGCAGCCCCCCCGGCCCCGTCAGCATCGCCCCCTCCCCACATCCTGCACTGAGCAGGGAGGGAGAGCTCAACCCTTGTTAAGCATAGCTAATTAATTTAAAATAATAGTTTTTAATTTTAATAAAATGTTATTTTATTTTATGAAAACACCATACAACTTAAATTTATATAATTTAAAAAATAATTTTATATTGGTGTAAGAGTCGGTTCTGAATTTTCCCTCGTCTGCCTCAGGATCGTCATTGGGGGACCACTAAGAAAAGACCACCCCTGTCTTAAATCTCTGGCTCCAAAGGAGAAAGTCACATGCCAACAACGCCCTAGATCTGAGAGCATTGCTAAGCCATTGTTCTCACAGATGTTTGCTGTATGCTACACTGAGCCCAAGGAGAAGAAGAAGAGGACACCGTGCCCTTTTCGCAACAACAGCCTTGGGAGCTGTCCCACCTCTCAGCCTGGCTGGACTTCTCCTGAGTTTTAGGTGGTCCCCCCACAGAAGACCCTCACCTGTTTCACAACCACCGTGACAGACAGACTGAGATGGAAGGAGCCTCTCCATCAAGGACTGAGACATGGAACCCCCATGTGAAAAGGCCCCTCTGCTCCTTCCAAGAACCGGGACTGAAACCCCCAGCCTGGGGCAGGTGTGTGGGGGAGGCAAGCTGGCCAAAGCGAGATGTTTGCCTGCAGGTTGTGACCGCTGGACCAAGAAGACAATTGCTCTCGTTTACTGCTGAGAGCATGGACTACCTGTTACATCTATTCCTTATTGTATCTGTATCCCCCCCCTCGCAATTTCCAATAGAGTTATCATAATAAAAACCTCTGAGTTAGCGAGAGACTTCGAGATCTCCCCGACGCAACAGGCGGGTCCTCGACTGGACTGGACCAAAGGACTTTGTCTCTACATTTGGCAGCCCTATTCCCTCTCTCTTCCCCCATCTTTTTCTCTCCCTTAATCCCTCTATCGCATTTTGCTGTGCTCATTCAGTAAAGGTGCATTTGTTTCGATTATCATTGCAAACCCCCTTGTACCGTGTCGGTTCTTTTTGCACCCTGAGATCAAATCCATGAACCATCACAAAACCCGCCCGTGAGGACGGATTTTGACACCCCCCGAGGACCCCTCCCCAGATTCCCCCCCAGCACCCCCAGACCCTGCTAAAACCCCCTCAAGTTCCCCCCAGACCCTCCCCAAATTCCCCCCCAAACATCCTCAAGACCCCTCCCCAAATTCCCCTCACGACCCCTCCAGGACCCCTCACCTGTCCCTGCGCCTCCTCAGCAGCTCCCGGAGCCCCCCGTCCTCTCCCAGCGCCTCCCCCGCTCTCTCCAGCGCCTCCCGCAGGACCCGCTCGAGCCCGGGGCGGCTCTCGGGGGTCCCTGAGGGGGTCTCGGGGGAGCGGGGGGAGGGGGCGCCCGCTCCATGCCCGGCCCGTGGTCAGGGGGCGCTGCTTTGGGCTCGGCTCCGATTGGTTGAGGAGGGGCGGGGAGGGCGGGAGTTGCTGAGGGGAGACGCCCGGTGAGTGGTTGGTTTGATAGAGGGCGCGGTGATTGACAGGAGAGGGGCGAGGGAGGTGGGCTTTGCCGAGGGGAGGCGCGCGGTGATTAGTTGGTTCAGCTCGAGAGAGGCGGGAGTAGCTGAGGGGAGACCTGCGGTGATTGGTTGATTCGGCGCGCGAGAGGCGGGCGGTGGGGAGGCGTGCGGTGATTGGTTGGATCCGCGCACGGTAAGACCGGTGTTCCTGAGGGAATACCCGCGGTGATTGGTTGGTTTGGGGTGGGGTGCGCCACGATTCGTTCGTTTGGGAGATGAAGAGTGGTGATTGGATAGTTTGGGGTGGGGCGCGCTGCTATTGGCTGGGAAAAGTCTGGGATTTTTTTAAAGGACTTTCCCGGTTTTTTGGGGAAAAACTCTCAGATTTTTCACGAAAAATTCCCGTTTTTTTACAGGAGAAACATTCCCGGGTTTTTTGACCACACATGACCCCAAATAACCTAAATAACCCCAAAACACTCGAAATAAGCCCCAAAGAACACCCAAAAAAACCCAAATACCTGAAAATGCCCCAAATAACCCCCCAAAAAACCAAAAAACCCCCAAAAAACCAAAAACAACCAAATTAAACTCAAAGACCCCCAAATGATTTCCAGTACACCTAAAAAAACCCCATGTACACCAACATAACTCCCAAGAACCCCAAATAATTGCAAATAAGCCCAAATAAACCCAAACAAACCAAAATACTTCCAAATAAACTCAAATAATTCCAAATAACACCAAATAAACAGAAATAAATCAAGCAAAACCCAAGAGAAACCCCAATTAGTCCATAAATAGCCCCAAATAAACCCCAAACAAACCCTAAATAAACCCAAAGAAACCCCAAGAAACCCCAGTTCCTCCGGTCCCCACCCATAAACAGATCCCGACCAATCAGAACGCGCGGCACTGATGACGATCCACTTGCTGGGCACAAACTCAGAGCACTGGCCCCGATCAGTGATTTTCAGCCAATCAGCGCCCGGCCCGACTCTGACTCATCAGTTGCCCGGTGCACACTAAGGCCTTTCACTGCGGTAAATATTAAGAGATCGCGGGGGAAGGGGAAGGGTGCAATTTCCAGCCAATCAGAGCGTGTCTCGCTGATGACTCATCAGTTGCCAGGAGCGGAATTTGGTGGGGGGGGGAAGGGGATCCTGGCGATGGGCTGGGGACCCCAAATTAATCCAAAATGGGGTCGGGACCCTAAAACGGAGCAGGAAGGGCCTGGAGCCCCCAAAACCAAACACGGGGGAGGGGACTGGGGGAAGGATCGGAAAGGGGAGGGAGAGAGGGGAAAAGAGGGGGGTGGGACCCCCAAATTGAGCTGGGAGGGGAATGGGACCCCCAAACAGGATGAAGCCAATTTTGTTCCTGGAATATGTAAAGTAGTTTATGGATACGCGAAAAGCCTATTAATATGTAACAGGCTGATGTAATGGGAGAAAAGGACCGTAAAGCAAAGGTTGTTATGGCCACCAAGACCCCCCAGTTATTTTCAGGGACACCCCTTAATTAATCTGGTTTAACTACATCAGCCTGTTGCATATTCATAGACCCTCATCCATATCCATAAACTAATCTACATCTTTCAGGAACTATTTTACATGGCCCAGCCTTGGGGGTGTCTCCCTATTTCAGGAGTCTCCACTGAAATAGAAAATGTAAACCCCCTCTCTTTGATGATGATGATGATGATGATTACATTAATTAATTTTGAAATTAAGGGGTTCTCAGGCAAAGATATGGGAGTAGAAATACAGTTCTTTATTAGGAAAAATTAAAAATACAAATGCAGTAGTACAAACAAAAAAAACCCAGTGACACAGTCAGAATCCTCTGGGAATCCAGTGAAAAAGGCTGATCCTCCGGGAATCCAGTGGGCAAATATTTATCCTCAGGGAATCCAGTGGGAGAAGCTGAAATTTTTGGAATCTGGTCAGAAAAAGGCTAATCCTCTAAGAATCCAGTGGGGAAAGGGCTGATCCTCTGAGAATCCACTGGGAAAAGCTTTGTCCTCTAGGAATCCAGTGGAGAATGAGGCTGATCCTTTGGAATCCAGTAGGAATAGGGCTGATCCTTTGGGAATCCATTTCTTAACCCCCAAAGACAGGGCACAGGAAGGGCCATGGAGTTTTTATAGGGCGTGCCAAGGGTGGAGTTGGGGTTGGGGTCAGGGGAGGAGTTCTTAGCAACACAAAAAGGGTGAGATCAAATTCCTGCCTCTTAGCAACAGCAGCACTCCACACAAAAGGTGTCCCCAAATCCTAAATTCCCTCTAAAACAACTGAGAAATTATGCAACGTCAGATATATTCAATGAATTTCCTTCATTTAACCCAGTTTTGGGTGTTCTTAAAGGATGAAGGTGAAGCAGAGGCCAAACCAAAAGGCAAAGCAGCCAGGTGTGTTCCCAACATGGATCACAGGGAATGTGAGTGACCAGGGCTGTGCCCAAGGTGCCTCCTCCAGTGGCGGATGGAGCTGGAGCAGCGCACAAAGCTCTGCCCGCACTCGGGGCACTCGCAGGGCTTCCCTTAGTGGTGCCTCCGTTGGTGTTGGGTCAAGTGAGAGCTCTGTGAGAAGGTCTTCCCACACTGGGGACACTCGTAGGGCCTCTCCCCAGTGTGGAGGCGCCGGTGAGTGATGAGGTGGGAGTTCTGCTTGAATCCCTTCCCGCAGTCGGGGCAGCGGAAGGGCCTCTCCTCTGTGTGAATCCAATAGTGCTGGAGGAGATAGGAGCTGTTCTGAAACCTCTTCCTGCATTTATCACACTCGTAGGGCCTCTCCCCAGTGTGGATGCACCGGTGCCTGATGAGGGTGGAGTTGTGCTTGAATCCCTTCCCGCAGTCGGGGCATTGGAAGGACCTCTCCTCTCTGTGACTCAGATAGTGCCGGAGGAGATCGGAGCTGGTCAGAAACCCCTTCCCACACTTGGAACACTCGTAGGGCCTCTCCCCAGTGTGGGTCCTCTTGTGCGTGATCAGGATGGAGCTCCGGCTGAAGCACATCCCACACTCGGAACACTTGTACGGCCTTTCTCCAGTGTGGATACTCTGGTGGCTGATAAGGTGGGAGCTCATGCTGAAGCTCCTCCCACACTCCCCACACTCGTAGGGCTTCTCCCCAGTGTGGATCCTCTGGTGCACAATCAGGTGGCAGTTCCACCTGAAGCTCTTCCCACACTCCACGCATGTGTGTGGCTTCTCCCCATCATGGAGCTGCTCATGGAGCACCAGCTCCGAGCTCTGGCTCCATCTCCGGCCGCCTTCCCGGCCCAGGCTGGCTCTTTCCCCCTCAGATCCCCGCCGGCTGCGTTTGCAGCCCCTCCTCGTGCGGCATCTCCGGGGCTTTTCCTCCCCGTTGGCTTCCTGCGCCGTGGAGCCGCTCAAAACGGCCTCTTCCACCAGGTTCTGCCGCGGGCATTTGTCCTCCCTGCTCTCCATGCTCAGCTCCTGCTCTGGGGGAGGAAGGACAAGGACAGGATGGGATTTGCCTCCGTGCCACAGGCAAGGGCAAGGAGATCCCCCCAGGGCTGAGCTGCAGCCGGGGCCGTGCTGGGCTGGGAGATGGAGCAGCACAGAGGGGAAAGGGGCACTCATCACCAGTTCGGGGCTGTGCGCAAATCACAAAGAGGACTGCACTGCTGGGAATGCGTCCTGAGCTGTGTGATTTTCCAACCATCTGTCTCATTATTTGGTTATGACCATGGGAAGATGCCAGTAGCTCACATCACAGGTAGCAGACAAAGGACTTCATGTTAAAACTTACTTTAAAAGGTTTTTGGCCAATCACACAAAGCAAAAGCATATTGACAGTAGTCCCATCCAAGCACTATAAACACATTGAGGGTTAAAACAATGCTTGCTTATTTCAAGTACAATACCTGCTTTTAAGCCTTAAAAAACAATGCACAGAGCTCCATTATTAAGCTTGAATCTTCCTAATATCTTGCTAGATATACTTTTCCGCAGGTTAGGGAGTTATTCTAGATAAGTGTTAATGCACAGACCATTGTTCTATTTCTCCTTACTTTCTACTTCTTATACAATTTTTCTATTGGCTGCTGCAAAGCTCAAATCAGTTCTAATGTGTCTGAGGCTTGTCTTTCGCAGCTTTCCCAAAACCATCTGATTTTAAGCATTCCAGAGACACTGACTTCCTCCTCACCTGCCTCATTGTCCTGGGGCATCTTCCTCTTCCTCGCAGCCTCCCAGGAGCTGGCAATGGGAAATCCTGGTTTGGGGAAAACAAGGGATGAGCACGGTGAGTTTGAAAGTGCCTCTGCCCAAGTCCATCTCTACAAGTCACTGGCACTCTGGGCTCCAGAAAAACCTCCCAAACACCACGATTCAGCCCGGAAAAAGCCTCCCAGGGGTTCCCCATCCCTGGCTCCTCCCCTTAGTGTTCGGGGGTTCCCCCTGTCCCAGCTGCTGGGGTCACGCTTGGATTGGGGGTCCCCCTTCTCCTCGGTGCCTGCCCTGTGCAGGCTGCTGGCAGTCCCAGCAATGCCAAAAGCTCCCCCTGCTTCACTCTCCCCATTTCGGGATCCAGGGGCTGTTTGGGCTCCCGGGCTCCCTTCTCCCCTCATTCTCTACTCTGGGCTGCAGCGCCTCCAAGGAGTCCCCCCTGCCCTTCTCCAGGCTCTTGAGGCTCCCGCCAATGGCGGCGCTCCCCCCTCTCTGGGCTCCCCACTTTGGGCTCCTGGGGAACACAGGGCTCTGCTCCTCCAGGCTGCCTCTGCCGGCAGCCGCCACCGCCACCCCCCGATGTCCCCCCAAGGGGCCTTTCCTGCTCAGCCTTGGACTTCTTCATTCTCCAAACATCCCCCAAAAACCCCAACCCAGGGACCCCCCAGGATATCCGGGCCGAGCTCCCCCTCCCCGCTCACCGGCGCGATGGGGGGATGATGATCCCACAGGTGGGGGCTGCGAATTCAGGCAGGGATCGACTGCGTGGTTCCCTACCCCAGCTCAGCCTCGATCTGCCTTTGTCCCTCCTCTTCCTCCCACTCCTCTCCCCTTCCATCCCCTGCACTCGTCCGCCCTCTCTGTCTTATTCCCACCTCCTTCGCCTCTTTCATCGCTGCTCTCTCTCCGCCTTCATCCCTCCTCTTCAATCCCTCCCCCTGCTCCTCCTCCCTAACCCCACCTCCTCCTCCCCCTCCATCCCTGCCCTTCCCTCCCTCCTCCTCCTGCCCCAGCAGCAGCCACACCCTCGGTGCCCCTTTCCCGCAGCCCTCGCAGCCCGCAGCAGGAGCAGGGATGGAGCTGGGACAGGTCAGGATGGGCAGCGCGGGGCTCTCGGCTGCTCCCAGCCACTGCGGGCGGGGGGAACCCGGCCCGGGCCAAAGGAGAGGCAAACTGGGCAAACTGGGGGCTGCACATCCAAACTGGGCCTTGCTGGGGACCCTGCCTGGCCACTGCCAGCCCTTGGGGCTCCTCTCGGCACATCCGCCAGGGGGAAACGCACACAGGGCTGGGGGATCCCAGCAGTGGCAGCACTGCCAGGGACTGGGCTGGACTGGGATCGTACTGGGAGTGACTGGGACTGTACTGGGCTTGTACAGATATCATACTGGGATCATACTGGGTTTGTACTGACATCATACTGGGATCGTACTGGGATCATGATGGGACTGTACTGGGTTTGTACTGACATTATTCTGGGATCATATTGCCATGCCAGGGCAGACTGTGATCGCACTGATGGACACTGGGATCATTCTGGGATCATACTGGGAGCAACTGGGACTTTACTGGCTTTCTATTGACATCCTATTGGCATCATATTGGGATTGTACTGAGTTTGTACTGACTTCATGCTGCCATCATACTGGGATCATGCTGAGATCACACTGGGAGTGAGCAGGAGCCTGGGGGGGGCAATTGAGACCATGTTAGGGGTAAATGGGATATACTGGGATGAACTGGGATGGTGCTGAGGATGGCTAGGATCATACTGACATTGAGTGCCACTACACTGAGTCTGACTGGGAGTGCTTGGGAGCAAATGGGATCATACTGGAAGGAACTGGAAAGATGGTGGAGGGAACTGGGCTACCCTGGGAGATACTGGGAGTGACAAGAAGGAAAATGAGGGTGAAAGAGAGCAACTGGAACCATGTGGAGCAAAACTGGTTTATTCTGGCAGAGACTAGGAGCACACTTGGGCCAAATTTGGATCATACTGGGAGTGACTGGACTAATACTGGAAGGAACTGAGTGTCACAGTGAGCACTCCCTGCACATCAACCCCCATACTGGGCCTGACTGGGAGCAACTGGGAGCAAATGGCATCATACTGGGACACACTGAGGTGATTGAGGAAGCAACTGGAACCATGCTGGAGACAGCTGGGACCATAGTGGGAGAGACTGGAAGTAAGTGGGAATATACATTTGAAAAGTGCATATTTTGTGACTGGGTTTTCACAATTATTAACAATAATGGATATTATATGTCTTGTGTTAGAAAGTAATGCTGTATTAATTCTCTTAAGTAGTGGGTTAAATATAGTTTTAGGTTATTAAAAAATGTTAAAATAGAAACTATGCTTGGTATGAGACATTTTAAAGAAAGGACTTGCAGCGAGATAGCAGCCACAGGACACCTAAATCTTTCAAGGAAAAAGAATTTATTGGTCTCTTGTCAGAAGAAATAACTTCTTCCTGCCTTGAAGCTGCTGTTAGGTTTCAGAGCAAGAAGTTGACAATGACCAGACAGAATCCTGTGTTTGAATGGAATTTATGCATCATGTATGAAGTGTATGAATATGCAACAGGCTATTGTTTTTAATGGTTAATCCTGTGTTAACGGGTGTCCTTTTTCAGGCTTGTGCTGCCCAGAAAAAGGTACCCAGACGTCCGTAACTTTGTATTTGTTATCTCATATTGTCCTAATTCGATTTCTCCAAATTGTTATTACTCTAATATTATTACTATTTTTTATAACCATTTTATTACCATTAAACTTTGCAAATTTTAAAAGCACGTGATTGGCATTTTTCACAATTTGGTAGCAGAGGATGGTTACGAACACCTCGCTGCCGGTGCTTTAGGAGAGTCAGAGTGGGGAAGGCGCGCCCTGCCCCGTTGGCAGCCTCGCTCTGTCTCCCCTGGGGTGACCGACAGACGCAGGTTATGGTGGACAAAAGGAGAAAATAAAACAAAGAGAAGGGAAAAGGGCTCCCTACGACCGCGGTAATTGGCCCCATAAGAGTAGTAATGTGCACGAAGAACCCGGGAAGGAAAAGGGATTGGTAAGTATTTCTCAGGAGAGCAGGTACAGGGGGATGAATGTGTGTGAATGAGAAGAGGGCTGGTTGTCCCAGACCTGCCAAGTGAGCGCTGGAGTCTCCCACGCTGCGTTTCCGACTTTCCGCGGTAAGCGGCCAGGAGAGAGACGAAGTGAATGTTAACAGGAGTGAGAGAATCCCCCGGGGTAACTGGGACTGGGTCTCAGAGAGGGGCTGGACCCCTCGGAGGAAGGGAGCAGAGGAGTTTCCGAGCCCAATCCACTAGGAAATGGGACAAACGAGGACCCTAAAAACCTGCTGGATTGAGGGATAAGAGTGCCCAAGAGCATCCAGAATTAAAACCGGCTGGGCTGAGGGACTAACATTCCAAGAGCATTCAGGGTTGAGCAAAATTCTGCCAGAGTGAAGATATCCTCAAGAGCATCTGGGATTGGAGCACACAGCTGGGCTGAGGGATAAAAAAATGCCAAAGTGTTGGGGAAGATGAGACAGGAAAGCCTTATAAATATGATTGTCTGGGAAAAGACTTTGACAATATAGAAACTACAAGCGAGATTGAAATGAAAGCAAGCTTTGAGATATCTTAGTTTCTGAACAACTGGAAAACAATGGTGTGGCCCAACTGAAGGTAATCCCCTTTTGATGAAACAATTCCCTCTGCTTACAGACAGGTCCAAGGGTCAGAGCAGACCCTACTAGCTCAGCAGAAGGGGTCCAAAAAGGACTTTTAAGGGTTTAAAATGTAACACAGTATGGTAATGTAATGATTCTTATAGGCTGTATGTAAACGCTCTAGGATTTCTATCTTGTACTAGATTGGTTAGTGAGCAATAGAATATTCAACACAGAAAATTTATTGTATTGTAACGGGAACCTCGCTCTCTTACGCTTTTACTCTCTCACCCTCTCACCCTCTCTACCCCTCTCTTCTCTCGGGCCTGCTCCGAGCTGTGCCTGGCAGCTCCAAGCAGGGCCCTGCACCCAGGCCCTTTGCAATAAACCCCAAGTTCCATGACCTGGCTGCAGAGATGTCTCGTCTCCGTCCGTCCCGACCGTCCTACCCCCCGACACTACGACACCCAAGAGCATCTGGGGTTGCACAACACAGCTGGGTTGAGGGATATCCAAGAGCACCAGGACTGGCCAGAAACACCTAAAGTTTTAATAGCTGATGTGAAAGTAAAAGGTACCTTATTGTTGTGTTGTTGTGTGTGAGAGTGAGTCACACACAAAATCAGCCTCAGGTTCCCGGGCGAGTGGGAAGGGGGGGCTGTGGAAAGAGGAGTGTGTGACCCACAAATAAGCCATTGTTCTCCTGGGTGTGTGGGGGCTGTGGCATAAGGTACAGGTGACCTGCAAACAGGGCCATTGTCCCCAGGGCGTGTGAGGGGGCCGTGGCTAAAGAGTGTGAGTGACACACAAATCAGCCTCACAGGTGAACGGCACCCGAGGCAGCAGAGTCAGGGCCCTCCAGGAGGCCCGGAGATACTGAGACCCAGAGGCCACCCCAAGGCGAGGGGGGGCCACAGGGACCCGCGATACTCTGTCAACAGGGATCCACTCTGTGTCCTGAGGGTGGGAAAGAATGTGTGGAAGTGAATGAGAAATAAAAGTGAGTGAATGTAGATGAATGAAAGTATAGGTAATGTGGGTTGTGTATCTTAAGATTCAATATATTTCCTTGGAGGGAGGTGTATTCTACTGAAAGTAGTGTGAGGAAAAAGATTTTTTATTTTCATGAGTGTATTTGAAAGAAAAGTGGTATTTAGCTTGTTAGTGAATGTGAAAAACAGAGGAAGACGATGAATAGATAAGATCTTGAAAAATGAGACAGAAAACCAGTAAGTTGGGCACAGGGGAAAAAAAAATGAAAAAAAAAATTCCTTTGGGAGTTATGTCAGCTAACAGAGATACAACTCCTTGCAAAAGGAGAAAATACAGGGTATGTAGTAGTTGATGGGAAAAACCTGCAAACTATGGAAAAAGGGAAATTACTGTTAAACTAGTAAGCTCTAACTTGTGAATTATATAATTTTAAAAGAGCACTAGAATATTTAACACAAAATAAAGGAACTATACATACTGATTCAAGGTATGCCTTTAGAGTAGTACATACCTGTAAAAAATTTGGAAAGGAAGAAGATTACTTAATTCAAGAAGAAAAGGACTAGTACATGAGGAACTTATTTTAGAGGCATTACAATCACCTAAAAGTGATAGCTATAGTACATATTAGGGAACTCCAAAAGGGAAAGACCCCAGAAAGATGAGGAAATAATTTGGCAGATCACGAAGCTAAGGATGCAGCAGAAAATGGAGCTGAAAGAGTTATGTTAATATTAACTCCAAACGAGGAAAAACTGGAAATTCCAAACTTTAGGAAAATCAAGAAAAAAGAATCAAACAACACAGGAAGTGAACAAGATAAATCAGGGAAATGGAAACTTCTTGATGGAAGACAATTACTTAATAAATTGCTTTACTTCTAGGAAAATATTAGAAGACATGCATCAGAAAACGCACTGGGGTACTCAAGCTTTGTGTGATCATTTTTTAAGGAACTATACGTGCACTGGGATTTTTGGATTTAGGATGAATCCTTAATTTCCCAAAGGATAAATAAAAAGCTGAAGAGAAAAACAACATTAGGAGGTCCTGAGTCAGCTCGTTGGCCATTTCAAAGTATCCAAGCAGAAGTTTAGATTTGTTAGGTTGTGGGTTTATTTGTAAAAAAACCCCATTTAATATAGAAGAAAGAGAATATGCCATATGTTAGACAGGAGATTTTAGGAGAATAAAAATCTTTGAAGTATCAGAATGCCCCGA